TACAAAAATATGGAAAACTTCAAATAAATGGCAAACTAGCGATTAATTCAAAGCTATCTAATCGCAAGTATGATGTAGCACGCACAAACTTCTGCATTGTAGTATGTATATTACTTACTCAGACGCCCAAGTATTCTATTTTAACTAAATTCTTTATTTAGACAAAGCTTTTGGTTGATCGAAATGCTTATCGTAAAAATGCTTCGATCATTCTGGAAGAACAGGAATTCTTTGGCGAAGTACATCATTATTTTTCACACCAATATAATGGTTATTGGTCTATGTTAGCATATGTACAATGGGTTCGCAATCCCCAATCCACTGGCCACGGATCATTATATTTTTGGGATCTTGGCGTATTTGAAGTAATTAATGTTAATGCAATTGATAGAAAAGTTGGATTTTTCAAAATGTCAAATAATAAACGATATATCATTGATCAAGAGAATAAAATTAGGTTTCGATAACATCTGTGCATGGTATATTTTCTAATCAAAATGGGCTTTGAAGGCCTTCCATGCTTCGCTAAAGGATATCAATAAACTGATTTCATTTTTCTCAAATTACCATTTATTTATATGCTATATATCACTTACGGTTATATTTTTGTTATTTATGAAATGTTAATTTAATTTGTTAAAGAATTTACTCATATTCTCTGTATTTATTCTGTTTACTGATTTATATATCAGTAATTAAACATGGAAAAAATCCGGATTGCTTGATTAATAAGTTTTCGCAGTTATAAAACATACTGAACATTCACAGACTCAAAAATGCAATCATGGAAAATTAATGAAAAACATGGAAAAAATCTGGATTGCATATTCATTAAGTTTTCGCGCCTATAAAAATACACTGAACATTTATGGACTCAAATACATAATTACGGAGATATTATGAAAGCATTCCAGAGTGACATTTTTTACAGGGTTTTGAATCAAATGATTTTCTACTCGAATATTTATAAATTATTAATTATTAACAAAAGACAAACAATATTATTGAATAAACAAGGAGAATATGAACTAAATCATTTAGTAAATAAATAAATATATATATTATTATCGTTATCGCTTTGTATCAAAAAATTGTGATTTATTAAAAAGGAATTTTCGATTCTCTATTGCTCAAATATCAATAAAATTTCTAATTATTTTACTGAAACCATTTGATAAGAAAAAGAACGCAGTATACTAAAATTATAAATATTACGAGGGAAACATTATGCGATTTGTTAAGATAAAGAATTTGCAATATTTTTAAATAAAACAACTAAATTTGTAATAATAAATTCATTTGAGCTTAATAGATAATACTGTAATTTAAATGTACAAATAGTCTCTCATTCCAATAATCATTAAAAAATAAGATCTATACCACCCTTGTAGATATAGATATCAGGTAATGTTTTTTATAATTTGTAGTTCTTTTTTATAAAAGGAATAAATAAAAAATAAAAGATTAACGCCATAATAATCCCATGCATTAATAAATTGTTGAAATAATATCATATTCCAACAATTTATCATGTTGCAATACCGAAATTATACTTCAATCATGAAGAGATAATGCTTTTATAATAAAAAGATATATCAAATAATAAGTATATTTTGTTCGTCTATATTTTCAGTTATATAATTATTCTGAAAAATAATAATAATTCACTGTTACAGCACAATCAAGGTAAATAATGTACTGTTGTCAAGTAGCATAAGTAATAAATATTAAAGACAAAATATAGCGCTATTATTTTCCCATAAATTTATATTCTCTCCTTTCTTAACATGTGTGATGATGATACATCTATTAGGGTTAAAATAAACTTCTAAAATTGATGTATAAAAGATATCCAATTTTCGGCTCAATGTTTCGACACAAAAAAGCAAATTTTATACTTATGCTTATTTTATCTTGATTATGAATTATATAAACTGCTTGAATGTCATTGTATATTTAAAAATTAAGCATTAAACTAATTTACTTTTCATACTTTTCATGAAGTAATAAGGCTCTCACAAACAAATGAAACTTGAAAATATATATTAAGAAGACATCAGATTCGAGCATAACTCCTAATCGTATTTTACTAAAAAACACAAAGAAGCAATTATTTATCTAATTTTTGAATTTGTAATCTTTTTCACTGTAGTAAATTTTCTCTTAAGTTTCTTAATAAATAAAAAATTTGCATAATTCTTAATACTACCAAAGAAGTTGTATTATAGAGCTTGAGAATTAGAACACTGCTGGACTTAGAAAAATTCTTGGCTGAGTATGATGGCAGAAGTCAATGCAAGTTCTTAATTCGATAAATCTACTGATTCTGGAGGAGGAATCGGTTATATACTTAATACAAATTGACATATGCGAGGTATGCTGTTAAAACTCGTGTTAAGGTCATTTGATTTACTTAGTCTCATAACCTAATTTTATTAGCATGCGACCCATATATAACTTCTGATATTGTAATTAGAGAATATGAAGAGTAAAAAAGTAATCACTTGTATGCTGGAAGAATCAGGAAATGAGTAATAATAGCGGATTGTGTTTGTTGATTTCATAATTCAATATAAACTAAAAAAAATTTTTTATTCTAAGGTCCCTTTCTATATTTGTACATTAAAGATTTACTTCAATAAATTATCATTTCATTTTATGTATATCTATAAAATTTGGGCTTTCTCTTTACCAAATACTACGAAAGACGTAGTTACTGCGATAATGTAAATTTTAATTAATTATAACATTTCATCATCAATTAATTAATTACAGAACATAAATCCATTTTTTATATTGCTAATATAACACTGGATTTGAGATTGTGTAATTTATTAAATATTTAACTCAGAACAAGCATTTTAGTTTCTTGTTAATTTTTTAGAATTTTGATTGTCATCTTAATCTGCAAAGCTATAATTCCACAAAGAATTGTTATACTCAATCTTCCTCCTTACCTATAATTGACTTTCTGCCATTTCTCTTCAAAATTATCTTAAAGCCACATATTTTATATTATTCATCAATAACAAGGACTTTTCAAATAATTAGTTTTGAAAATTATGCAAACTAATAATCAAATCAAAAACTTCGATATATATAATTAACTTTTTGGGTTAGAAGCTTGCATCAATTTTTTAAAAAGCTACGTTACATATAAAAATTTAAAATAAGATCAATGTAATAATGTAATATAAATTTAAAAAAATTGGCAGAACTTGATAATGTAATGCTAATATTTATATTATCAGAATTATAAATCATAATAGCAAATTTATATGATACCATCATATTTATCATTTAATTATTTAATGATGTTATGTTCCAAAGAATTTTTAGGCTAAAAAAAAATATTATGGCTACTGGCAAATATAATTTTGGTATGATTATGTGGGAGTTTATTACAGGTCAAAAGGCCTTTTGGGATAAAGTTCATAATACTGCACTTGAAGTCCAAATTAGTGATGTGCTTCTCCAATCAATATTACAACTGTACCTGAAGGATATATTAAATTAATGCTATCCCAATCTATATAAAAGGCCAACCGCTAATAATATATGATAAACTCCTTTATATTGATAGAATTTAAACAAGTAATCTGACCAATATTACAAAATCATTAGATATTGGACCTGTCCGGTAGTTACAAATAACCCTTGAGCATTCTATTCTAATGGATGCTTAAGTGATAAAAAATATAGCCTGAATGTTATGAATGTTATGAACCTAACTTTCCTTGCAAAAAATTGCTTCGAAAGATGATTTGAATGTACCTTGATTAGTAATGATTAATCTTGTGTAAATTTCGCTTGCATATTTGTTCTTATATTCTCATTGATGAAAAGCTGTTTTTCATTTCTATAGATGTGCTATTGATGGTAAGAATTTCCTTGATGGTTCTTATTTGTTGGAGGTCGATAAGATGAAGACAACTACGAGTTGTGTAATATAAAAGGAAAAAATGTATTTAAGAGCAAATAATAACTATTGAGAGCTTTTCTTGTTCATTACAATAAGATCTTAAATATGTGATGCAATTGTAATTTTTGTGATGATTAACATTATTATCGAAGTGATGGATGGTGGCATTCTTTATTTAACTCGTGAGATTTTGAAAACTTTAAAATACTTTTTTCGCTTTTTATATAAGGTTAATAAAATGACTTTACGTTAGTGCACGGTTTTCTTTTTTGTTTTTATAACAAATAAATTAAAATACTTTTAAGTGACATATAATATAAAAACATACTAATCAATAATATATATCATACATCAGCAAGGGATGGTGGTAAGATAGGTAAGATAGTATTGAAAACTCGTTATTTGCTAGTTTATAAAATTTTTTAGGATTAAAATTTTTCAAGAAAGAAATATTTGGAGGAAAAAGGTATTTATATAATTTATTTCACTATTCTATTTTTATTGGAATTATATTTGTTTCTTTTTACTTGTTTCTTTTTACTTTATCATCCGAGCTTTCCGTTTCGTTCCAATTCATTGGAACTTTTTCATCCAATTTCAATGATTGCTTCTACTTTAAAAATATGATTAATTTTTGAACAACAGCTATAGCACGCATAATATATATTGATAATACAATTTGGAAGACATTTATCAAACAAATACAAAGAATATACAATGCACTCATTATATAAATCATTGACGAAAGAATAAAATAAACTATTATTGTTCTTTTTTATAATAAATATTCCTGTTTTAAATATAAATTTTTATCACAATTTGCTAGATGCTCTTGCTGCTTTCAAACAGATCTAATGTATGTATTGAATAAACTAGCGAGTATCACTTAATATAAGGATACAAAATTAAAAAAAGGTTCAACATTTACTCTTAAAAAGTATAACAAATTTATAATAATAAATTTAAATAGCAAATAACTAAGGAAAATCAATACCTATTGTAAAATTTAATCTTGAAATAAACATTTAAATTACAGTGCGCAACAAAAGTAATCAGAATCACGTTTTTTATTAATTTCACAATTAATTAAAAATATGAAAATTTAAATATATATGCTTTATTATCCTGCGAAAAAGGTTGTCTAAGCTTAACTAATAGCTATCTATCACCCTCAATTACTTGTTCTGACCGTGAAGGCATATTATGAATTTAATTAATAAAATTTCATCTTCAATTTCCACCCACTCCTGTTGAATAATATCGAAAAAAAATCTATAGTAATCATATTTTTGTTAGCATTTTGTTGATATGTTTTCTACACGTCTCTTCAAAATTAACAATAAATTCTCGATAGGAACACCATTTTTTCATAAAGTAGTTAAAATTGTATGAGGTATATCATGTATGATCAGTATTACATAAAAATGGTTATATATTAAATTATTTTCCACATGCATACTGCGGAATTTATTGATACTAAATGTTTATTTCAAAGACATTAGTTGCGTATTCTATTTTAAAAAAAAAGTGTTGTCAGTTTCGAATATAAGAAAAATACAGTTTTTTAAACTTTTCAATAGATATATGAAATTTTGGTAATTGTAAACTTACTTTTAGCTTTCTTATTTAAAAATTCCCAATAATTCTTATATGGTTTGTTTATGGTCTAATGTCTCTTTAGCTTATCATCAAACCTTAATACTTTTCTTACCTAGGTAAATTTTACATAATAACAAAATCTCAATATCATTATTAATAAATGTTGATAGAATATGAAATTATTTATTTATAAAGTTTATCTAACGCACAACTAATATTATAGATATAATGAACATTAATGACATAAAATTTAAAAATATTACAAATATCTAAAAAGTTACATTATTTGAAGGATAGAATCTCCATTTTCTAGGTATTAAAATCGATTCAAAAATTCAAAATCAATCAATTGTGATTAATTGTTTCTCAAATTTTAAGATTTAATTTTCAGTTTTGACTAATCGATATTTTTTTTCAATATCATTCAAAAAATAAATTTACATATTCATAAATTTTACATAATATATTTTTTTAATATATTTTATATATTACATGAATGTATTATAATAATCGTATTTGTCAGGCTAATACACAATATGCTTTTTTAAGCTTCGGTTTAGTTTCTTTTTTTTAAATTCTGTTTTATTGTTTTTTCTTTTTTCTTTTATTACTTCTTTATAATTGCATCAATGAATGTTTTGAATTTTCTGATTATTATAAATCTTTTTTTATGTTATATTTTTTTTTTTTATTCATAGGTTTTTTTTACTATCACAGATTAAGCATTTTTGAGTGGTTTTCATATTTTTTTTTTTTGATCATTAAATTATTATTTTTCTTAAATACAATTAATATTATAAAGCTGTGATCAGTTGGCTTGAATTATGCATTAGCCTGTGTCATTTGTTTTTATTATTATAAGTCGACAAATTTAGCAATTATTTAAATATTTATTTATTATGCTTCTAACAAAAAAGTCCTTTAATATTGACAGAGTATATGAATATGATATTAATGTGATTTTGCTAAGAAGAATCTCAGTAGAACAAGACAATTAAATTTTTTTGGATATCATCGTCAGATACTAAAATTAGCTTTTTTTATTTTCTTTGTACGTAGCTTCGTGGTGATGACATCATATCCTATAAACAAAAATGTTCATTTCTTTCATGAAAAAAGGTTCATAAATATTTGTCAAAAAAAAAATTCAATTAGTTTGTATAAAGAAACTCAAATTCATATTGTTCCTAAAAATTTTCATTTATTTTATCAGCCATAAATTTTCTAAAATTATTTACAAACTTTAAATTTTGATAGTATTCTGCAAATTTCCGAGTCACAAGATTATAAAAGAGTTAGTAAAGATAAAGAAAGACATTGATTTTTTAAGATGTTCTTTAAGACTGAGGTGAAACTCCTTAATTAAGATATATCTTTAATAAATCTTTTGATAATATTGCTACCATTAACTCAAACAAATTTCATGAGACGCAGTCATTTCGTATAAAGATTATTGTAGTAAATTTACCAAAAATGTTTAACTCTCAATAAAATTAATTATAGAAGGTTACTAATAGAA